TAAAATGAAATGTGCTTTTCGAGAAGCAGGTAGGGACAGTTAACTCCCTCTGGTCCTGGGTGGTGATGGTAGAAGAAGAAATCTAGCCATCAGCCCCTGCTGTTCCCTTGGTCTACCAGCTAGTTAGTTGTTTCATGATCCCTTCCTAGTCCTGCGAGATGCCTGAAGTTGTCAGGATAGCAATCATCTGGGTCAGAGGGGAGGCTGAGTAGTCCCACTATGGAGCATCGAGAGTAGTGAACACTCCAGATATTGTGGGTTTTTTAAAAAATTATTGTCCTATATAAATATACAACTGTTAATTGACATTGTATTTAGCAAGTACCTTTCATTTTGTAATAAAATCTTTTGATAGCAGTCGCATGAGAAAACAGAAATGTGCATATAAAATAATGCTCTGAATTTCCATTTCTGAAGAAAGTGGATGATGCACTTGTACTTTGAACAAAGTGCATGTCAGCGTTCACCATCTACCACGAGGGTTGAGCTGACCACATGAAAATCAGAAGACGTAAGTCACAACAGAAGCATCAGCATTTTAAGAAGACCATACCCAAAGACATCATCTAAACATATGCAAGTGCAGAGCTGATATATGTATCAATCTATAGAGCATGACTTTTCACTTAGATAAATGACTATTCTGAGTTACATTATAGGACTTTTGGGGGGTTGTGTGTGTGTGTGTGTGTGTGTGTTTGCCCATGTGGATAGTAAAGAGAGGGCTGTTAATATATTCACTCCGTGAGGAAGAGAACTCGTAAGTGAGGCCTGTTTATTACATTGTCTTCCAAGATTTCAAATAGAAAAGCAGCTCAGCTAATTACCACAGAAGTTTGGTTTTGTTTTTTACCTGATTCATGGAATCAAAGTCAAGCTGTTGATATTTACTCCTCCAAGATAAAAGATCTGACTTTATTGTGAATGCTGTTATAAGTTCAGTTCGAAGTTCAACGCCGAAGATAATTTTTTTTTTTTTTTTGCCGTAATACAAAGAAAAATTTCAGTGGAGCACAGCAGTATAGTAAAAGCAGCGTTCTTACTAAAGAACCTATGGAGGAAAAAGTGTCTTTGGAATTGGTTGTGAAGCACAAATAATACATGAATGTGGCCAAACTGGGGAAATATTCTACTAATCACAATTGAAGATATGGATGTCAAAATTTACACATATTAGGAAATATATCATTGAAACCACATTTTTTTTGCAATGAACTGATGCTGAATCAACCCAAACCAACCAAACCCTGCAGCACAGCAGAGGGACAGTCCTTCTTCAGGGGTCATCTCTGGTCTGATTTTAGAATATTAGAGTCTTTGGGAACAGCCGTGAATCAACGTCAGTCTCTAATCTGCACTGAGTGTTTCTGCAAAAGATCTTTCTAAATCATGATGGCATTTTGTTCAAAAAGATCTGAAAATCTTTAATACACATGTTCAATTAATAGAGGGTCCAAGACTTCAACTTTTGAAAATCTTAGCAAATTGCAATTATAGAAAATAAAGCTTGCAAAGAGCAATCTTTGCTATTTATCTTTACTACTTCAAGGAAAATAGTGAAAGTTAAATGCTGTATAAGATTTGTCTGAAATTCTGTCATTGAGTTTTGTGATTTCTTGAATTTGGGGAAGAATCTTTTGATAAAATTCATATGTTTGCTTGAATAAATTCATATTCTGTATGGGAATAAAATTAAATGATAAGATTTGTACTTTCACAACATTTAATTTGTAAATATTCAACAAAATAGATATTGGATGGGATATTGATGTTCATATTGAAAGACAGATATTGAACTTGAATAAAAGAACAAATATTCATAGAGACAACTTGCTGGATGAGTTTTATCTTGCAAATTTCTTTGTCAAAGCATAAGTATTCAACATGCAATTAAAAAGACAGTACTTTATAATTAGTTGGGTTAAAAGATTTTAAAATTTGAATAAAATATAGTAATTGAGAACATTCTCTATTTAGAAGATTTTTTTCTGAGTTTACCAAGAACCTCAGCAACTGTATAAAACTATTTTCTCAATTAAAAAAATATTATAATTCATAAAGAAGAGTCCAATAAAGAGGTAAAATTTCAATTTTATTAAACAAAATATATATCTTTGGAAAATAATGTGGAAGTGTCATGGAAAATTTTGATCTATATTTGGAATATACATTGGAAAAGCATACACACACACATTTCAGACAATATCAGTGATATGCTGTTACAGAAAGATATGACTAACAAATGGATTAAGTTCATTTAATGTTCAGATAATTACTACAACAAAATCTATTTGCTTCAATCTATTTGGATGTATATTTTTATTTTTTATAGAAAACAAAGTACTTTTTGCAAAGAGATATTTTGTAGGTGCACCAATATACTGATCAATAAATAAATATTTCAAAATTTACATAACTTTAATTACTTTTAGTGCACTTTTAAAATTCAAAATGATCTCGGTTTGGATGACAAAATCATATAGTCACTTTATATGATCAAAACCACAGCACACGTGGGAAGCTGCAATATGATTGTATTAGTTTTTGGTCGCTGTGTAACAGATTACCACAAACTAAGAAGCTTAAAGCAACATACATTATTATCTCACAGCTCTGTCTGTCAGGAGTCTGGGCATAGCCCAATTGGGTCCTCTCCACAGCGTCTCACAAGGCTCTGATCAAGGTTGTATTCTTAACCGAAGGCTTGGCAGGGGAAGAATCCACTTCCAAGTTCATTCTGGTTGTTGGTAGAATCCATTGTTCTGTGGCTATACCAATACAAGTCCTGACATTTTACTGGGTGGAGGCTGGAAGCCACTCTCAGGTCCTAGGGGCCACTCATACTTCCTTGCCATGTGGGCTTCTCCAATGTGGCCACATACTTCATTGAGCCCACAGGAAAGTATCCAGCTCCAGTTGGCGAAGTCAGCGCCTCAGATGATGTAATGTAATCACAGAAATGACATTCCATCACCTTACTCCACCAGTCAGAAGCAAGTTCAGATTCTGCCCACAAAGAGAGGGGGTTACACAAAGACGCGAACCCCAGGAGATGGGAATTGCTGAGTGTCAACATAGGGATGGCCTGTGACAAAGACGATATTAGATATTTTAAAATAAGAAAATGAGTGTGCTGGCGTATGATCGCATATTATTCATACATTGCAGTAGTTTTAAAATATGTCCTCAAGTTCTTTGGTAATCCTGCCCTGAGAGGTCGTGTCTTTGTGTCCTCTCCTTGATCCAGGGCCAAGCTTAGTTGACTTCTTTCTAACAGAATGCTGTGGAAGTGATGTGTTGTGACTTCTAAGACTAGGTCAGGAAAGACTATGCAGTTTTTGCCTGATTCGCTTCCAACTCTCGCTCTTTGGAAGTACCTCCTGGGGAACCCAGCCACCATGCTCTGAGGAACCCACATGACATGGAGAGGTCACGTGTAGGTACTCCAGTCAATGGATCCAGCCCAGATGCGAGAATGTGAGTGGAGCAGCCATCTTGGAAGTAAGTCTCCACGGCCCAGCTGTTCAAGGCCACAGCCTTTCCTAAGTCTTCCCAGCTGAGGCTCCAGACATCGTGGACCAAGGAAGATTTGTCCTCTCTGTGCCCTTTCCTACTTCCTGATCCACAGAATCCACGAGGGTAATAAAATGGTGCTGCTTATAGCTCTAAACTCGAGGTGGTTTGTTACACAGGAAGAACAAGTAGAATGTATATTGAGGTCTTGTGTGTGATTTTTTTTTAATATCATAAGATCAGAAAACTGATATAATTCAAAATGTCTCTGGCAAAACTATGAATTAAAAAAATGGAAAGTTTGGGAACTTCATAGATTGGCATTTTAAAATCTTCTCAAGTATATTTCCCTATGTATTTTAATTACATACGCACTTAATTCTTTTTTCAAATTTGTTATCAGCAATTAGTTCATGAAGTTTCTATCACTAGAAGCACAATTTTGCATTAAACTATTGTCTGCCAAGTTAAGCATTTTACATTTAAAACAGCTGTGACATTCTATTTACTATGTGGATATTGAAAATCAATAACAAACACTCAAATACACATAGCCCATAACTAAAGCCAGTTGTTAACATGGGAAAATATTTAAATTAAATACTACCAACTAAATGAAAAATATATTAAAATAACATGTTATGCATAAAAAGTAAAATGTTATGTGTGAAATGCAGTAACTCTCGATCAGCAACAAAATGTGGGTATCATTTGCTTTTCCACAATTTATTTGGGTTTTATTTCAAGGTCAAGTTGCAGCATTTAGATGTTATGAATAACGTAAGATCTTCCTTGGAACGTAACAAAAGGAAGTAAAAATATTGTGATTTTTGGCTTTCATTACAAACACCATGTCAATAAACTTAACAGTACTTTAATAAAGAAATTCTGAAAAAATCTGGGAGTCATGCATACTTTTAGAATGTACAAAATATGATGCCTCTATGAGACTTCCCCTTTCATCACAAGAGTACTAAAAGCATATTAAAATAAATGGTTAAACATGATTTACAGCTGTTTTCTATCTAGGAAGACATTGCTTCTTCCATAACAAAACAGTTGTTACATAAGAATTAATCCCAGATTTTCAAAACTGCCATTGCAAAGGGTACAGAAGTTGTTAAGAGGGAATTGAAACACAAGATATACTAAGGAGTTGTAAAAGGAAGAGGTTGTAAGAGCCCGGGGCTCATGGCCCAGAAAACTACACGTCTGGACTCTATGGGAATGCCCCAAATCTTTGAAATGCCTGCACTCATTCCATTATCTTTGAGGGATGGTGGAAAGCAACTACCAATGACCATGGTAAAAGGAAGTCATTATTTTCAAAACTAAGGGCTTACAATATAAATTCCAGGTAAGACGCTAACTCAAATTAGAAATGGGACAGTTTGTAAGTACAGAAAATAGAAATGTTATTCATTATGGCCAGCACAGCATCACAAAAATGTCATTTTAAACTAAACCCATTTTCTTTTTTTTGACAGGCTTATTAGCCTGGTCAGACAAGGAAATGGAGTTGAGTATCTGGATATTTCACCTTAATAAGACAAAACTCAGAAAAGAGCATGAAAACTAAAAGGAAATGTCCGGGGAAATCCCTTGTGGAAGAAGGAGCAGACTGGTGCTGTCTGACTACAAAGATGAGGATTTGGATCAGGTGTCCTGCATGTACAGAACACGTCCTGTATGACAGACTTATTTTTCTGCCACAGTAATTGATGCTTAAATCACTTAAATGACAACATTAGCTGAAAGACACAACTTCACAAATAAAGATCTGGACGATCTTTTATGTTTCTCCTGCAGTTTTGGATGAGGGAAGATCAACAGGGGGCACTGATAACTAAAAGCACTTATTTTTCATATTCAAAGAAAGGAAAGAAAAAGACTTTGTTTTTAGCCAGAGTGCTAAGTCGTGACAAGTAACCACCATTGAGTTGAGATAACTTCCCATATGCGCACATGCTCTAGAATCAGCCAGTCAACAGCAGTCTGGCTGTGGAAAGTTAGACAATGAACGATAGCCCAAAACTTTTGAAAGTCAGCCAACCAGGGACGAGTCTAGACAACAGCCAATCAGCCAGCACCTCACTCTGGTGACTTTGAAGGTCAGCCAATCCACAGCAGCCTTACTCCTGTGCCCTACACTAACACAGCTAAGTCCATCAAAAACACGCCCGTTGCTGAAAGTGCACCAATCCTGGAACGGCAGGCTTTCCAAAACGTTACAGAAGATAACCTCTGGCTTTGCACTGGTGTCTTAAAATACAGGCAAACGGGAAGTTAACCATTTTTTGTATCAGATATCGGTCATAATATTGTTAGCTTGGAACTCTGATGGTTCAAGCCAATTACAGTGAGCTATGAGTTTGCACTCCTGAAATAACAGATGCACTGATGCGGCTGCAAGATTATCAAATGGAATCTTTTCAATTCTTGCAGTGCTTGCTGTTATCTATTTTTTATTTGTGTATTTGTACCCCAAAATGCAAGGGTACATTTCGTGATAAATTTTCTGAACGGTGGACGTACATTAAACAAGGAAAAAGAATTATTGAAGCTCTTTGAGCAGTATACATTTGTTAATTCAGTGTTGAAAATGATGGAAAGTCAGACACAGGCCAGCATATTCCAGCTGAGATCTTCAATTAGTGCCAAAGAAAGAGAGAAATTACAAAAAATTTTTTATGAAGAGAAATTCAGATAAAGAAAAGTTGTAATGGCCCTTCCCACTAAATTATTTCGTCATTCTTTCAGCTCAAATAACTGAATGCCTTACTACCAGAAGTATTTTCTGATTCCAAAATTGCAAGCAAATCTTCAAGTGCCAGGACAAAATCTACCGCAATAATTTAAAAAAAGTATTGACTCTATTATTATTATAGAGATTATCTAAGATATAAATATCTCACTTTTTACAGCATAAACCGTGGACACAAGTAATCACAATGCAGAAAAAATTTTCCCTTTGCCCATGCAATATTTTTCTATGAAAAAGTCTTGTTTCTAAGATGGAACTTCAGAAACAATAGAAATTTTGGCAGACTCTCTTATTAAGTTAGCAGTTAGTGAGAAAAAATGTACTGCTTTTGGTGGATGTAATACGAATATAAATTTGGAGAATGTTTGCTTAAAGGTGAAAACAGTGTTTATTCAAAGTTGAAGCAAAACATGAGCGATTCTTTGGAAGGAGTTGGCTGTTCTGTCCATATTCGGATAACGCTCCTGGAGCATCATTGGATGTCCACCCTATTGACATTGAAGTAAGTGTTATAAAATTATTCTCTCACTTCAGCATTTGTTTTGTTCAAACTGAAGGATTCAAGAATTTTTGTAATTACTTTGGCCTTCAGCGTTCTTTAATTCTCTCACATTCAAAACCCTCGTGGCTCTCTTTAACAAAAGCAGTTGAGAGAATCCTCAATTTCTTTGAAGCTCTGAAATCTGTTTTAATTCTGAAAAGGCCCTCAAAATTCTTGTTGACATTTTTAATAATCCATTATATGAAGCCTAGATGATTGCTTTAACAATGGTATCATGCAAATTGAAAAAAGAACAAACAGTGTTGCTGAATTATTCCTGTGCTTAAAGGAACTAGTTGAATGTATTAGAAAAAGAATTAATGAAAAATGTTCAGTGTCAAGGCTATTCTTAAAAGAGGCAACAGCACTTATGAATAGGAAAATAGATGCTGATTTGAAGAGTGTAATTGTTAAGGTACTAGTCATGACTATCTTTTGAAATACATTTCATCCCTTAAAGAATTAGATTCTTGTATACGGATATTAGAAAATACTCTTCCAGCATGAGAATATGAAATCATATGTGTAATGCTGAAGAGGAATGGAATAAAAATAGATAACAATGCTCATTTTTGTTAGTGAACGACATTTTAAAAAATTGTTGATCAAGATATGCAACATTATCTTGAAGAATGCAAAACCAAGTTTTGCCATGAAAAATAGTGTCATGTGCTTCAACAAATCAAATCGAAAGTCCTTTCTCAGAGTTGTGAATTTTATGCCAGTAAGTGCTCAGTATACTACCTCGTGATGCTAATGTTGATGGTTTTCTCATTAATGAATGCTCAATGGACCAAAGAACAAAATAAGCTGGATATGAAAATAGTAGAAACTATTGTACAGTGGAAATGGAGCATAATTGTAACTGCAAGGAATTTGATAAGCAAGCTGTGCAAAACAAGGAACCGTTCCATACAGCCACATCAATGGGGAAATAGTTAAAGAAAGAAGTATGTAACTTAAATATTTATAATTTATTGCAGATAAATAAGACATAATTTTCAGTATAGACATGCCCTGTGGAAATTTTATTTTATCTGAATGTAATATACATAGCTAATTAGAAATAACTCAAATTTAACTGGGCATCTTGTATTTTGATTAGCTAACTCTGGCAACCCAAATGGCCACAGATAGCAAAACCTTAATGCCAAACACTTGTGAATGAGACCTGTGTTGTGAATTATGTCCACAGGTCAGGTGGCTGGCACTGCTGATCTGGGCCAGCCTTGCTAATCAAAGGTGGGCTTTCTCCAGCATCTGTATTCACTTGGTGGGAAAGCTAAGGGCTGGTTGTTTGAGGATGGCCTCACTCGTTTGTCTGGCTGTTTGCTGACTGTTGACTATGACTATTGGGTGCCTGGGCCAAAGCAAGTCCCAGGTTTAATCCAAATTCAAAGGGTAAAGATATTAACTTTACTCCTTGAAGTTACTGAGTCACACTGCAAAGGGGATGAATATAGGAATAAATGGAGAATCGCTGCCATTTTTGAAATAAACTTACCACAAAGGGATTCAAGTGGTTTAGCTCTAAAAACTATTTTTTTCTTAGTAAGTCAGCACACATTCTAATTATAAAATGTTCTTGATTAAAAGGTGAGTTGGGGGTCTGGCCCCACAGCCAAAAGTGGTTAAAGTTCCACGCACTCCACTTCGGTGGCCCAGGTTCATGGGTTCGGATCCACTCATCAGCAGTGCTGTGGAGGCATATGAAGTAGAGGAAGACTGAAGATTGGCACAGATGTTAGCTCGGGGCAAATCTTCCTCACACACACAAAAAGGTAAACTGGAGAAAAATTAATGTTTAAGAAAATCGACTGGGATGTTAAGCACTGATTTTGAGCAAATTTCTTAACTAGTATGTTTTATAGTATTAATTTCTAATATTAAATAAAGGCTATACAATATAAATATTTAAATCATAGGTAATACAACTTAAGCTTTATAATATAAATAAACTATAAGTAATATGACTTAAGCTTAGTATGTTTTCTTATTGTTTTGGCAATTATTTTCCTATACATTCTTTTCAATCTAGACAAATGCAATCTATTCAGTCCTCATGTTTTCCCCTTATATGCCTTTCCTCATAGTTTCCATGAAAGTTTCTTCATTTTAAAAGAAGATAAATGTGAGTAATATCTTATTACTAATATATCTATGTTATGTATCTAAAAACTTTTTATTTGGCTCTAGATCTGTTGCAGGCTAAATAAAAATATACAAAGATTACAGTAAAAGAATATCTTTAGTCAAATAATGAAATCAACAAAATCTGCAGAGCACGGAGTAGTGTAGAGCTGGCATTTTATATTTGACCCTCTGGTGCCAAAAGAAATTCATAGATCTTTTAGTTTGAGAATAATTTGACTTAGTTAATTTGGGGTGGTACTTGAGAACTTAGTTTATTTAGGTTATAATTTATTCTAGGTTTTATCTGTAGTTAGCAAACTCCATTTTTAACTATAGGATAGGGAGATGTTTGTAAGCACTCTTGCTACCTGTGTGTATCTATTCATGTCAGGGATTCTCATTTCTCAATTCGGGAGATGTGTGATTGTTTGCCATTTTAGCTGACATAATCGCTTGTGTTCCCTCAGCAGAGGAATGTACAGATTCTGAATGCGAAACTCTTCTCAGTGGTCTTGGTGTTTGATTCATTCACTTTATGATTTGGGGACAGAAAATGTCCACGCCACCAGCTTATTCAATTTTGTGTCGCCATGGAAGCTCTTCTTGTAGAAGTATTGGTGGTGTCCTCCCCATGGCCCATCATTGACTTTAGTCTTTTATTACATCTCACCAGTCTGAAAGTTCTTAGGACACTGAGCTTGCTTAACCTGGAAAAACGAAAAGGTATAGAGCATGTTTATGTTTCTCAAAAATTTCCTTTAAAAAATCAGTAATTTCTCTTGTAGTTTATGATTTCTCCAACAAGAACGTTCCACTTTTTCCTTTTTTTTTTTGGTTGAAGATTAGCCCTAAGCTAACTGCTGCCAATCCTACTGTTTTCGCTGAGGAAGACTGGCCCTGAGCTAACATCCGTGCCCGTCTTCCTCTGCTTTATATGTGGGATGCCTACCAAAGCATGGCTTGCCAAGCAGTGCCATGTCCGCACCGGGCATCCAAACCGGTGAACCCTGGGCCGCCGAAGCTGAACATGCGAACTTAACCCGTGCGTCACTGGGCCGGCCCTCTACTTTTTCTTAATAGGGGCAAACTAAAGAGCAGAGGCACAGTAAGCCTCTTGGTCTCATCCTGTATCGAAGTTAGACTGTCTCAGGGAAAGCAGTCAATAAAACAACGTAACTTGATTTTATTCCGTAAGTACATACAGAAGTATATTGATTCAGTATCTATTTCCAGAGACAGGTAGTTTGTTGGGTGTCTAGAGAGTTTGGTAGGGAGAAAGGTCATTCATAAAATTGTCTCATCCAAAATTTTCCTCTCCTTTTTTTCTTTTAAAGGAGGAGAAAGGTCAAGTGGGGCAGGGAGCTGGCCCAGATGCTGCGGGTTCCCCCACCAGTATATGTTTTATCTGCAGAGCTCTTTGCCAAGTTTCCTACCAACAAAGCAGCTCTGAAATAAGAACCCTTGAGTCAATTCCTCGGAAAACAAATATTACATATAAATTAGTTTGAGGCAAAGAAAATCATACACATTCTTTAACTTCTACAGTTATTTTGAAACAAAACAAACCCCTCCCACCTCTGCCAAAGTATACAGCAAACACACATAACCAGCTAGGTTTTAAGCCTTAAGGCTGAATCTATATTTCTAGATTAGTTTCAATTAGCTTTTGTGTTGCTCAAGTTTTCTAGGTTTATATTTTATAATTTTCAAATTACATCTTCAAAGATTCTGCATTTAGTTTCCTAAAGCTTTTGATTAAGACAAAAGAATTTTTAAAATATTAGTGTAGAAACTGTGATACTTATACTAGGGGGACATATTAAAAACATGACAAAAAAAAAAACAGTGGAAGTTTTAAGGGCTACTGGCATAAAAGCTTGCAGTTTTAAGGGTCTTTTTTTTTTTCAGTTTTTAAGTTAATAATCAATGAAATGTTTTCCTTGAAAACATTCCAGTTGACGGAAAACCTAAATGTACAGAACAGTTATTAGGATGAGACGAGCTATGAAGATTTCACCCTCTCTGAATGCAGGAAGGTATATTACTATTTTATGATCACTAACATTCATACAATGGGCACTACATTACAGAGAGTATTCTAAGCATTTTTACATGTGTTAATTTTCAACAGTTCTGTGTATAAAAGTGACCATTTTAAAAAATGAGGAAACTAAAGTACATAGAGGTCAATTAGCAAAAGATCATGTACTGTTGTTTATATTATTTAATGTGTTGATATTTAAACCCATAATGTGATCTGCATGTGAACAGGGAGATCTGCCATCCAGATCCTCCCAATGGAGAATTTGTAGCCCCAGCTGCTAGAAGTGCTGTTGGCAGAAAGCCTTCAGCTGGCGCTGCTTGCAAGGATGGCCTCAGTGCAGAGAGCAGCACCCTCCCCAGGGAAGCCGATCTCCAGTGACTGATGGAGACTGGGGTAAAAAGACTTGGCCATTCCATCCAAATGGGCCAATTCTGGCTGCCCATTCTGGCTCCAGAGGCTGTTGTCAGGCTTACATTGCAGCTTGAGTATTCCCTCTACCCTGTCTTGCTTCTCCCCCTTCCCTTCCACAGGTATGGATTCCAAGAACACCTCCTAATAAATATATTACGCACTAATCTCCAGTTCAGAATCTGCCTCTCAACACTGGAACACTGCGTAATAATGAAACACATTTGTGTCTGTGACTTACATTTCTAATTACTCTATATAATGTTTCAATGAACATCCTTGTACATATATATGTAGGAATTGGTGAAAATTAATATTCTAATGGATATGATTATTTTTTATTTGATGGCTAATTTTGCTTTGGTTTAGTATTCCATGTTATGTCATAAAGACTTATCATATCTTGATTTAGAAAAGCCACAACAGCTCTCTAAGTGTAATAGTAAATCTTTTGAGATTGGTGATCTGCTTATCTGTTCTCTACATTGCCGGTTTCTGCAGTGACGAGTGATCGGAATTGCCACTGCAGAAATCCTCTGAATCACCGCCCCAAGCCCCTGACTTAGAAATCCATTTCAAATGTTTTACTATTGTCTTTTTCATAAATCATTCCTGTTACATAAACCTTGGGATTATGTTTTCATCAATGTCATATGTGCTTTGCAATTTTCCTCCAGCAAAATAATAATGCAGTACAACTTTTGCTGTATCCTTTCTGAAATAGATGAATAATATAAGGAATTCATTTTATAATTTTGTTTGGGGTAGACTGAAAAGGTGCAGGTTATTGAAGGGCTGGTCATCTCATAGTAAGAGAAATAAGAAACAAGAATTCAAGCTCCTGAGTGAAGTTCATCTCTCTGATTAAAGCTTTGGTTGAAGAACATTTTAAATAGAAAAGATAATATTTGAGATATCTAGGGTTTTTTTTCATAAACATATCTCCATATTGGGACAAATAACCTATTAAAGAATGTAGGAAACGATCTTTTTATATTTTATATCTCTAATGAACCATCCTACATTTAGAAAGAGAGACTAAGAACCACGAGCTTTCACAATCAGTTAGTGGCAGAGGCAAGATCTGAACCCAAGTAATTCAGTTCCTGGTCCAATGTCCTTTCATTAGCCAGTCAGTGTTTCCTGGACCGCCTAACCATAGTTCTTCATTTAATATTTTGTACAGTATGAACCAATACTAAGCAAATTTTTATAAGAATTTTTTGGCAGGTATCCTAAAAAAAGGATAATCTGTATTTCTACATCAAAGAATGAGTCTAAAGGCCTGGCATCTCAGCCCAGTTGGGGACAATGCCAAAGACCATTCTAGCACCAGAGCTCCCTGTGGGTCAACTGTGACCATCACAAAGCCTGACTTTTCCCTCTACTCATTCCTGCTTTCTTCCCCTCCCTTTCCCAGGTGTTGATCCCAAGAAGAGTCCTTAACAAACATCCTACATGCTAAACTCCAGCTCAAAAATCTGCTCCTTTCAATGAAAACTAAACTATTGGTGGTGAGCACGATGCATTCTATACAGAAACTGACATATAATAATGTACACCTGAAATTACACGATGTTATAAGCCAATATGACCTCAATAAAATAATTAAATTTTTAAAAATCTGCTTCTTTGAGAACGCAACCTGCAAGAGATAAGGTTCTTTGAAATCTAGTTCTACCTGTTGCCATTAAACATTTGTAAGTTGAAGAGAAAGCCAGCCTTCCTGCCCCTCCAATTCTGACTTCTACTTTCATATGAAAAACAGTATTTTCAAAAAGACTTTTGTTCTTTTAATGCAGCTAACTCTAACCCTCTGCCTGGTAGACCAAGATCATTTTCTATCTTCTTAGTATACGTTAACTTACTTCTTATTTTAGTTAAACATCTAGGATATAAATCTTGGCATTCTCCCCAGTTTTCTCAGATACTATTCAGTGTTTGTCCCCTTCTAAGCCATTTCCTTGGTCAACTAGAATCTACTGCTACCACTTAACTTCTGACCTTCCTTCAAAAGTCTTATAGTGTATCTTTTGCTATTTCCTTTATGGGACACGATTACGTGTACAGTTACATATATCATCTTTGGAGAAAGTCAACACCCTGCACTTGTCTTTGCTGGAAATAAATTCTAAGTTTACTAGTCAATATGTCAGTGGCTCCAGAGAAGTTTGTGGATGTTTAGTTTCTGTTCCAGACTGAAAAGAAACCCTGCTGACGTTTGTGTATTTCTGCTGGGAATCAGACATTCTTTAGATAAAGGTACTGAGAATGAAAAAGAATTTAGAAGAGGGCACCAAGCTAACTCAAATCCAAAGAAAGTTTATTTTAGGG